ACGAACAAGACTATCCAGCTATTTAACTCTACAGCCTCGCAAGTCACAAGGGGCCTCTCCCATACGACACCTCCACTGCAAGAACCGAGAGCGATCGATCGCGCAGTTGCACTTGCACTTACACTTGCAACTCTCTGTCTCTCGCGCGCGCGGATGGCCACCTTCTCCACCGCCGGCGGCATCGGCATGGACGCGTCGCCCATCTGGTGTTTCATGTGCAGCCGCCTCCACCGCCCCGATGGCCTCTCCACCTGCCCGACACGCGCCCCGCGAGCAGCGCTCGAGGAGATCGTCGAGGTCATGGACGCCGGCGAGTTCCTCCAGGCGTGCGCCCTGCGCCGTGCTCCGGTCGCCGCCGCCGTGTCGTCGACGCGCCAGCAGCTGCCCACCGTCACGGTGCGCGATGCGGGGCGCACCTGCGCGGTGTGCCTCGACGACCTGGAGCCCGGGGGGAGCGCGGTCGTGACGCCGTGCGACCACGCGTACCACCCGCAGTGCATCGCGCCGTGGCTCGAGGCGCACGACACCTGCCCGCTCTGCCGCCGGGAGTCCGGGCTCCAGGTCGTCGAGGTCGAGGTCCAGGTCGACGGCATGGTGCTCAGCTCCCCAGATGGGCTCGTCCTCTGCGAGCTGATGATGCCCGGCGGCCGAAGCGAGTACCGCCTCGGCCGCCGCGTCGCGGGACGCATCTTCGCGGTCAGGGTCGTCGACGGGACCGGCAAGCTCGTACGCGGCGGCGTGCTGAGACGGCTAGGGTCCGCTTGCCACCGGTTCGCTGCGGCCGCTGGGAACTTGTTGTCGTTGCGCTATCGGGACTGCGTCATCCCTAACAACGACTTGCTGCTAGGAGTACAATGCTAGACGACGCTGGTTCGACGACATACCATGTCAAGAATAGCAGGAAGAGATTTTTTTTGTTAAGATCTTGTGGCTGCAGAAGATTGATTATTAATTTTGCCATCTACCGTAGACACGCTGTACCATAACTAAAAGGCGTGCCTAGCCACGGTTAGGAAAGAAACTGAAATTCTGACACGTTAAGGCAAGGCGATCAAGCTAGCAAACTTCGAGCTGATCAAGTGATTCTTTCTGCTACCTGTTCAATTACATCTTCACGTTTATTTTTACACTCCAATCTTCGAGTTGAAGTTGTTTTAGTTTTCTAGCTTCGCAATGCACTCTGTTATGCGATGAAGATCTGTTTCGTACGAACTGTATGTATGGCAGATCAATTTGTTACAGGTATCTATACAATTGTAAGTTTGTAGTCGATTCTTTCCTTATATCTGGCAGATCAAATTTATCCCCCAAATCATCTGTACTCTTTATGCACACACCCTTTGGAGCTCAAAACATAGTATGATATGTTGTGCGGAAACTACTTTAGCAGGCTCGCTTGAAATGGAAGGAAAATACTCCCTCCGTCCCATAATATAAGGGATTTTGAGTTTTGAATCGAACTGTTTGACCACTCGTCTTATTCAAAAAATTTGTGCAAATATAAAAAACAAAAAGTTGGCTTAAAATACTTTAGATAATAAAGTAAGTCACACAAAAAATAAATAATAATTTTAGAAAAAATTGAATAAGACAAGTAATTAAACAGTTCAAACAAAAACTCAAAATCCCTTATATTATGGGACAGAGGAAGTAACTTTTTTCAAGGACTTGAATGTTTCATACGAAATTCATGTATTCAAGACTATTCCCTACGTCCCCTAATATAAAGTATTTTGACATTTTGCTTGCACTGTTTAACCATTCGTATTATTCAAAAAAAATTGAAATTATTATTTATTTTATCTGTGACTTACTTTATTATCCAAAGTACTTTAAGTACAACTTTTCGTTTTTTATATTTGCACAAATTTTTTGAATAAGACGAGTGGTCAAACAGTGCAAGCAAAATGCCAAAATCCCTTATATTAAGGGACGGAGGGAGTAGTATATAATTGAGCAACATAAAAATACGTTATGTTGCTCAATGTTCTAAAAGTACAGTATAACAGCCGATAAAAATGAAGTTCTATATATATAAAAAAAACATGTCAAGAATGGGATTCGAACCCATGCCAATGAAATTGTATAAAAAAAATAATCATGTCAAGAATAGGATTCTAAACATGTCTAGAATGGATTCAAATCCATGCCATGCCAATGAAGTTCTATAAAAAAAATTAATCATGTCAAGAATGGGATTCGAACCCATGCCAAACTGGCGCCTTAGACCAACTCGGCCATCTTGACGATGCCTTTTGAGACGATATAGAGTATATACAACTTTATAGATCATGAAATCGTGTTCCTTCTAGGCCTGGCCTGGCCTGTCCCTTTCCCAGTCCACAAATCTCGATCGTGCCACTGTTAAAATGTTAACACACTATGCAGATCATCCTGTGTACGCACAGGCAGACGCAGGGGAGATTAAATTAAGCGCGACTTTGACTTCTCCCCAACCAGCTGGCCCATGATGTTTAACCAGAGTCCCTGCCTCCTCACAGTCCTCATCCCCCAACCCATAATGACCGATCATTGCCGTCCCGGCCGCGACGCATCACCATAAACGGCGAGATCAGGTCCACAGCTGACAGCGCTCCCTGTTCACAAACATGGCAATTTCCAGATTGCTTCGCCTCCGCTCCGCGCGCGCAGCAGCCAGCAGCAGCTGCCTCGACAACTACATGCAACTGCGCGCGCCATTAAACTATAATCGCGATCGACGTCGTCCTCCCGGCGGCAGCAGCCGCAGCCCACAGCCGGCCATGCGGGCGTGGCCGTCTCGCGATCGAGAGCGACGCGAGACGCGATCGAGCAGATGGAGAGCGAGCGAATCCTGCACCTGCCCGCCCGCCTGCCCGCCCATCCTCATCTCATCCTTCCATGTGTGTGGGCTCGAGCAAAGGACCATGGTCCAGTGAGCATGAGTAGCAGCACTACACTACTCCACCTACCACCCTGCCCGATCAGGCCTCCAAGGGAAAAGCTAGTGGGATGGATAAATCCTGCGAGAACAGCGCATGGATCACATGTGCGGGTTGAGCTCGTTGTCACCTTGCCTGTGCTGAACTGCTGATCCATGGCGCCATCTGCACTGATTTTGACATGATCGAGCGCTAGTTCGACGTTACATCCGCGATTATTAGTGCGGTTAGGCGGCGATCGTTGTGTCTCATGTTGCTATTCGATCGCATAATCCGCGAGTTGTGCTCGTCCTCGTCGTCTAATATAATCGTGTCCAAACCAAACAGCGCGTCGTGGAGCCCTGGAGAGCTGTAGGGCATAGGCGGCTGTGGTGACAAGGAAATTGTTTCTGGCTTGGACCTCGCCACCAAACCTACCACTCGATCTCTGCAATGACTCTGCTTGTCGTCAACTAGTGACCCCGTGGTAGTGTAATCTTGGACGATGATATCGTCTTTACTCTGAAGGACGGCGAGTCGGCGAGTGACATGATGAAGATGCAGTTACGCGCAGTATGACAAACATGCCCGGGGAAAAGCAGCTGACGCACGCATCGCTTTGTTGTTTCCAGCTACTCACACGACACGAGTAATTGACTCTACTTGTACAATTGTACTACTATCATCAGAGCATCCGCAGTGGTAAAGTAAGGTGCTATCTATAAAATATGTACATCTTAGCAATAGACTAGATTAATAGTAAACCACTTCAATGGTATGTCTACATGGGTATCTATAACTCTAGATCCATTGCCTTGTTTTTCTCTATAGACTATCTCCAGGTTAGTAGATAGCTTTGCTCTCTCTCTTCATTTAATCTCTTCCAAGTATGAAAATATGCTGATATGGATCTCTTGTAAAAAGCCTATAGATAATCATTGTGGTATCCTCAGGGTAGGAGGAGTGTACTGGTGTATAGTGCTCGCTGCAAATGACGGTAAAAACAAGTCGCTGCCCGTAGGCCGTAGCTCGGTCCCTGAAACAGGGGATCTGACTGTTTCAACGACGTCCGGCAAACGAGTGTGCCTGGCCTGGCTTTGGCCCGCGTTGTTCCCCATGGCGATGCATTTTTCTTCCCCCATCTTGCAGTAACAAATAGTGCACGCTTGCTCCGAGGCCACTCGTGCTTGAAACCGTGCAATTGTCCACAGGTGTGCGTTGTTTACGGTAACCAAAGCCCAGAGGGAGCAGCAAACAAGGCAATCCTTCAGATTGCTCTGCCCTTCTGCAGAGCGCACAGGATGCATCGATCCTGCTATCCACAAGACCACAGCGAAGTTTTTGAACACTTGACCGCGCTAACGCGCATCATTGGCCGAGCAGTTCAAAGCTGAAACAGTCATGGCCCATGAGCGATTAATTTGCAGACGGCGATCGAGATTAAAGTGCCAAAGCAGCCATGGTTAGTGCAACTAACAAAAGGAGCAGCCTACAAATTACGACCTAATCTACCGGCTAGGACGGCAGCCTCGCGTGGCGCGGTAACTCAACCCGGGCCGTGCATGCACAGCAGCAGTGGTGGCCGGCGCGGCGCCGGCGAGCCATAGAGGCGAAACCGCGTCGCCTGGTCGAATGAATGCTTCTGAACCAAGCTTGATGAAATGAATTGAACGCGTCGCTTTCATGCCGAACAGTACAAAACTTTAGCTGCGTAGCTTGAATGCGTTGCCCCCTCTCATTGGAACGAGAGGCAGGCACCGCATTCACGGCGGCCTTTTGATCCTGAACTGTCCATATGCTTAGCGGCGGTACGACGCGAGAATTGTGATCTTTTCCTCGGTGTTGGTATGGTAGATGAGGGCATAACTCTCCATGCACGTATAGTGTGGACTTCACGTCTGCGTCTGTGGCTCTGTGCTGTGGTGTACGAGCGCAATGTGTAATGTCGTCGTTGGGGGCCATAAACACACCGGGGAATGAGATGATGTGTGTTGTTCATTGTGCTTGTGTTGGAGATCGATCGAACTGTAATTAACACAACGCGCGCGTCTACGTACACCCATATACTTACAAACTTGCTACTACTCCTACAAAATGCAGCAAGTTACTGTGGAAATTTGAATTGGATGAGTACACCTAGCAGTAGAGGTAGCAGTAGTACTGATCTCTATGGCTAGCCAGCTGGCTCGACCTGGTTCCAAGGCCTAGAAGACGACACGCACAAGGGACTCGGCGACACTGACCCGTCCGTCCTCACCGTCGCACAGTGTGAGTGAGCGAGTCCACTCCTCGTCGCACGCCTGCCTGCGTCACCACCACTCCACTCGTCGCTGCCCCCATAAAATCCACGCCGAACCAAAACCCCACACCCAAATCCAAGCATCCATCCCTCCGCTCCGCCCGCCTCCCCGCTCACATGCGCGCAACCACCGCCATGCCCCCTCCTCCCGCGCTGCCGGTTTGCCTCCTCCTCCTCCTCCTCCTCTTGCTCGCCGTGCCGAGGCCCGCTGCGGCGGCGGCGGCGGCGGCGGCGACGCGGCCGCTGCTGTTCGAGCTGCGGGCGCGGCAGGTGCCGGCGGGGGCGCTGCCGCGGCCGGCGAGCAAGCTGCGGTTCCACCACAACGTCAGCCTCACCGTCTCGCTCGCCGTCGGCACGCCGCCGCAGAATGTCACCATGGTGCTCGACACCGGCAGCGAGCTGTCGTGGCTGCTCTGTGCGCCCGGCGGCGGCGGGGGTGGGGGCGGGAGGAGCGCGCTGTCTTTCCGGCCAAGGGCATCGCTTACCTTCGCCTCCGTGCCCTGCGACTCCGCGCAGTGCCGATCCCGCGACCTGCCGTCGCCGCCGGCCTGCGACGGGGCCTCGAAACAGTGCCGCGTGTCCTTGTCCTACGCGGACGGGTCCTCCTCCGACGGTGCGCTCGCGACGGAAGTCTTCACCGTGGGGCAAGGGCCGCCGCTGCGCGCGGCGTTCGGCTGCATGGCCACCGCGTTCGACACCTCGCCCGACGGCGTCGCGACCGCCGGGCTGCTGGGCATGAACAGGGGCGCCCTCTCCTTCGTCTCCCAGGCGAGCACCCGCCGCTTCTCGTACTGCATCTCCGACCGCGACGACGCCGGCGTGCTCCTCCTAGGCCACAGCGATCTCCCCTTCCTGCCGCTCAACTACACGCCCCTGTACCAGCCGGCCATGCCGCTCCCCTACTTCGACCGCGTGGCTTACTCCGTCCAGCTCCTCGGCATCCGCGTCGGCGGCAAGCCACTCCCCATCCCGGCGTCCGTTCTCGCGCCGGACCACACCGGCGCCGGGCAGACCATGGTGGACTCCGGCACGCAGTTCACCTTCCTCCTCGGCGACGCCTACTCCGCATTGAAAGCCGAGTTCTCGAGACAGACCAAGCCCTGGCTCCCGGCGCTCAACGACCCCAACTTCGCGTTCCAGGAGGCGTTCGACACATGCTTCCGCGTGCCCCAGGGGCGCGCGCCGCCGGCGAGGCTCCCCGCCGTCACGCTGCTGTTCAACGGCGCGCAGATGACGGTGGCGGGGGACAGGCTCCTGTACAAGGTCCCCGGCGAGCGCCGTGGCGGCGACGGCGTGTGGTGCCTCACGTTCGGGAACGCGGACATGGTGCCCATCACAGCGTACGTGATCGGGCACCACCACCAGATGAACGTGTGGGTGGAGTACGACCTGGAGCGCGGCCGCGTCGGCCTCGCGCCCATCCGCTGCGACGTCGCCAGCGAGCGCCTCGGCCTGATGCTGTGACCGCCGGACGCCGGCGAACTCCACCGTGGTAGTAGCTTCCTGGTGTAAATTTAACCACGCGCCGTGTGACCTCAGCTACTACTAGTACTAGTAGGGTTTTTGCATGTAAAGATGGCGACACGTATGTACATTATGCATGTAGACGTCTCCTTTCGTTGTCACGCTCTTTCGCTGTCGTTTTGGGTGACTTGCTCCGCAGCGCAAGCTTGATCAGATGACGTGAACAGTTACCAAACGAACCATGGCTGCACCGATGCAGTCTGCTAACACTGACACCGTGACACAGAACGTGAACCTAGCTTGGATTCATGTCGGATCGGACTATCGGAGAGACACGAGGCATCTCACAGAGAGAGACACCGAGACAATGCCACCTCGCCGGATGCTGCTTTGTACTACTCGTGATTCGGCTTTTCTCTGCGGCATTTCCGGGGAGAAAAACAGAGTAGTTGTGGCGCGGAACAGAGGAGGAATGTTCAGGAGAGGGGGCATGTGTTCCGGCGTCCATGTTGCCGACACGAGGTGATAAAGAAGGCAACCGACATGGGGCTTGTCGTGATGGTTATAATACACAAGAAGGTTCTACTTGTATTAGTAGTGCAGCTTTATTTGTGACAAAAGGGATCAGGAGTTCAGGACTATGATTATCTCCATTTTTTCCCCTTTCTGCCTTGTTCCCATAGACAATCGACAAAGCTGCATCGAGCAGCGTAACAAACAGACTGCTTTGTATCAGGATGTATAATACTCCCAGTAATACTATAAGATGCAGATTCTAGAAAGGGGTTAACATGTACTCCTACTACGTCGTGCTATAGAGCAGTGAAGTGTAAGTTTCGAATTATGAATCCTGAACTCATCGTCTCGAGACGAGGAAAGCAGATTCTTCTATTGAAGAAGATGCAGATGCTAGCAGTAAACTGTAAGTTTAGAACATTGAAATGAGCAACCCATGGGGGCAAAGGAAAGGATCATTCCAACCGGAGCAGTTGCCGGTTCTGAGATGATTAACATCAAGACGCAACCAACAATTTTTTATTTGGCCACTGTCTGGAAATTCTGGAGGTAAACTGCACTGCAGGCTTGCTGTTGGCAGACCATCGTCTGGAAATTCTGGAGGTTTTTGCTGAACTTCGCGGATTAGACCGACGCATATTGCAGGCAGACGTGGTGTTTCCACTTCAGTTTTCTTCCAACTATCTTTTGGGTGTTATCGTTCTTCTGAAGAAATCGTGCAGAAGTGACAGAATTTAGGTCAATCGCCACAGAGATACATCCCAGAGCCATTTACAAGCAGTTTGGCAGAAACGGCATCCGAAAGGCAAAATGTCTTGAACCATCGTCCGTCCAGCAAGTGCAACCACACCCATGCGTAAGCACAATGTATCTGTTTAGATATCTCTTAGCAGATGAAAAGAAGATATATTTGTTCCCCAAGTAGAATTTGTAGGGGTGCCAAACTGCCAATGCTTGAAGGCTGAAGCAAAGCACCCGTGGCTGAAGCAAAGCACCCGTGTGTAACATACGATGCATGTAAATATAGAAAAACAAAAGCATCTGATAAATTACTTGCCAAGAGACTCTTACATTAAAGAGTTTGCGTGCTTCAACCCTTCAGTGCATCATGACATGTCCGTCACATGTCTGTTTCTCCTCTTTTTAGTATATATTAGGAGTACGTAGCACATATTCACGTGTCTATAAGCCTATAAGTACCAGTTCTTTTATCAACTACGACTACTACAATATGCTATGCAATATCCAAAAGTAAAGTTTTGGATTTTTGTTAAAGACCCGTGAATTTATTAATAAGCTAGATACTCTCTTCGTAAAATAATTATGGCTATGAATTTGAACATAGCTTATATCCAAATATGTAGTCAGAAGTTTATTTTTTATGAGACGGAGGGTGTAAGTAGCAATTGCATGAGTTGGAATGGTGCTTATAGCACTGAACACTGGGGTACATCCAGTTTTACATAAAGTTACCCCTCAAGACTAGGCGAATTATATTTTTAAGCAATAAATTGCAGAAAAAGACTTAATAATAATAATAATAATAATAATAATAATAATAATAATAATAATAATAATAATAATAATAATAATAATAATAATAATAATAATAATAATAATAATAATAATAATAATAATAATAATAATAATAATAATAATAATAATAATAATAATAATAATAATAATAATAATAATAATAATAAGCGATTGGGTCCTTCTCCCTTGACGATCTTACATGCTGACAGCGGCTAAGAAGTAAGAACACGACTTCCGCGGAAAGAGAAGCCGAATGAGTTGTAGAGTTGAAAGGGGGTTGAGGCATTGGCAAAGGGTGAAGCAAATCAGCACCATCTCAAAGCATTTCCAACGGAGCTGATGAAGGTAGCTAGCATGTAGACATTTTTCTCATAGATGATGGCCAAATCCATTCCACCAGCAACAAAAATATGTAAAACATGACGATTTGCAGTAGTGACTAGGAATGAAAACGGATCGGAAACGGACGGAAACTAGCTTTATCATATTCGTTTTCATATTTTTTTTCGGAATCGGAATCGGAATCGAAAACTCGGATACGGAAATGAAATCGAATATTATCGAATACAGATACGGAGCGAATACGAGACGGAACGAATACGGTAGCGAATATTTACCGGTATATAAAAAACCCTCAAATTGAGTTTCTTGATCAAGGAAGAGATATCGCTTATTATTTTAGTTCAACATCTCCAACATTTATATCGTCAATTTTGTAGACGGTCCCACAACCATATGTGAAAATCGATTTTCATGGTTGTTCCTCTAGGAGATCCATATGCAAATATGATTATCATTTTTTATTCCTAAGACATTTTACTAGATGTATAACTTAATTACTTACCATTGTATAAATTGGAGATGTTATTTATTTTATTTCACATCTTCAAAACTTGTAATATTTGTTTTATACTTTAAATACTTTTAAATAAAAATGTTATAAACTATAAAGTGGTAAATCCCGTTGAGCTCTACAACTTTGATATGGAACACATCTCCATCAGATGTCGTTTGAATTGTAGATCTGAGATTTTGTAAAAATTAATATGGTATATTATAATGAATATTTAGACCCTTAAATGACCCCAAATAATAAAATAGTCAATAATAAAATTGTATATCTCATCGAGCTCTACAATGTTGATATAAAGTTTGTCTTCATCTGATTCCGTATGAAAAAGTTATGTGCATATACGTGTTTTTTTTTTCTAAAATTTGCTCAATGTCTGCGGATATCCGAAAAAAATTCTAGATAGTTTCCGACCGTTTTCCGATTCCGACGGATAGTACCCTTACTGTATTTGTATTCATTTCTGAGAAAAAAAATCCGAATTCGTTTCCGAATCCGAGAATTTCCGGATAGTTCCGACTGAAACTATCCGAATCCGAAAATTGGTCCGGACGGACGAAAACTATACGAACCAGTTTCAACCCTAGTAGTAACCAAGAGGCGTGCCTAATTGGGGCCTCTGCGAGCGGGATGTTGGAGCCACCTCAGCCGTCCGTGAAGACCTAAGACGTCTTGAGAGGACTAGTTGTTGGAACTAGAGAAGATAACCTCCATCCCTAGGGAAAGCTTGTCAGGGAAGAAGTTGAAGGCTGGTGCTACCATCAACACCGCATATCTGGTGGAGGCTGACCTAGATATGGAGGAGTCCGAAGTGATGACACGGAACAGGGATCCCGCTGCAAGACAAGACATAACTAGTGTTGAAGCCAGCGAAGCTCTCCTTAGCACCAGGACGAGGGAGGCCGGTGCTGACGATCGCCTCGGGAACCAAAAGAATAGTGAATAAATACCAACATAATGGGAAATCTCGACTAAGACGACTACTACTAGAGAGATGATGAGGGTGGACCCCTCTTCCTCCCTCCATCAACGACAAGCTACTGGAGAAGAGGAGGAAGAGGGGCCAAGGGAAGATGGGGTTTACTATGGTTGAGATGGGGAAAGTGACGAGAAGACGCGGTGCAACCATAGGCCTATGAGACTCGAAACTCAAGTTTTGGATATTGAATGTGACTTAAGATCGATACACATTCTACAAGTATGTTGGAAATGGATGTAAGACCTCGTGACAATGGACAACCGGTCTCCTAAACACATTATAACAAATACACCACATCACTAGTGACTTGCCATAGCCCATAGTGAGTGTAGTTGAGCCTATAAAAATCTTGGACACACTGGAGAGGGGAGTGGTGTCGCGAGTTAGACCATGTGTAATACAATATTTTTTTGGCAGAGCTCCAACTCCAACTTCACATTTATCAAGCTGGAGCCCATCTAAACAGTTTTAGCTTCACCTAAAAGGGAGCGAAGTGGGCTAGAGTGCTATCACCAAATGAACTAGAGAGGTGATATGGTATAGGTTATTTCATTTCATTCTAGACCTAACTCTTGGAGTTAAATTTACAGTCGGAGCTCTACCAAACAGACCCTAAGGGTGTGTTTGGGAGGAGGGGCTGTGAACTCCTCTTCGACACGCAAAACGAAGCACGCATAGGCACATCATTAATTAATTATTTGCTAAAAAACATAAAAATGGGTCCATATGTTTTCTATAGCAACTTTTTTATAAGTTTTTTTTAAAGAACATACCATTTAGTAGTTTGGGATGCATACACACGGGAAACAAAAGGAGATGAAGTTGGAAACATCAACTCAAGAATAGAACCTAAGACTCAACTCAAGAATACAAGCATGCCATGTGTATCATGAGCTAAAAAAGTTACAACGGTAAATAGTGATCTGAGTGTCCACCCACGCTGGTCCTCCACCACCAATGACCATCCCTGTGTATAAGGGAAAACCCTCCTCCCCTAACTTTTACTTTAAAACCTTAAATTCTAAGTATTCCTATGTTCAGTGGCGGATCCAAGACGGCGCCCCGGGCTCGCAGGCAGATCGCACCATTACAATACCTTTCAGTGATTAACATAGTGTATAATTGTTCATATATGTGTTTGCTCGAGCTCTAAAATGTTTCAAGATCCGTCACTGCCCGTGTTCTTATATAGTCGTTATTACCTGAAAGTTGCATTCATTGGTGAGTTTTCACCCGATGTCATGCTAGAGATTAAAGACGACTCCCTCTCCATTCGGAGCACGCGACTAAGATTTGGAAAAATATCAGTCACTCAAAAACTAGCATTTTCCTAGTTTTATTTTATCTACAGACTAATTTGAGTTTTTTTAAGCAGGTACAATAGCAGACTATAAGTCAACTATAAAAATATTTTAAAGAGATAAAGAAAAAGAGAGAAGAGCAGCGGGCTACAGATCTGTAGCCAGCTGCAACACGGACTCCAAGACGTAATGTGTGTATGACAGGTGGGACCATATATTAATAGTATAATAAGCAACTATTGTATGAATTGGCTATTATATTGGTTATAGATGATTTGGAGTTAATAGTGGGCTATACTATTAAACTTGCTCTTAGGGATACATAAGAAGGAAGTAACAAAGTGAGTGCCATGAAAAATACCGACTCACGAGCATATGGTTCGCTAGTGAGTCGTCGCCATAGTACAAAAAACGGGACCGGCCCGGCGGTTGAACCGGAAAAAACCAGAACCAAAGGTCTGGATGGCTCGGTTTGCTGTAAAGACCGCCCCTACATTTGAACCGGAATAAACTGCCTGGCGGTTGAACCAGAAAAAACCAGAACCAGAGGTCTGGATGGCTCGGTTTGCTGTAAAGACCGCCCCTGCATTTGAACCGGAATAAACTACCTGAACCGGCCGGCTCGGTTTGCTGTAAAGACCGCCCCTACATTTGAACCGGAATAAACTGCCTAGCGGTTGAACCAGAAAAAACCAGAACCAGAGGTCTGGATGGCGCATTTGAACCGGAATAAACTGCCTGAACCGGCCGGTTTTCATGTGAACCGTGAACCGTAATAAACGGCCGGTGCATGTGTACTATTGAAAATAGCCTGGCGGTTGAACCGAAAAAAACCAGAACCAGAGGTCTGGATGGCTCGGTTTATTTGAACCGGAATAAACTGCCTGAACCGGCCGGTTTTCATGTGAACCGTGAACCAGAGCGTGCATGTGTACTATTGAAAATAGAGAAAAAGGGATGGAATGGGGGTTCGAACGCTGGTTGGCTGGCTGAAAGCACCATGCATCCAACACCCAGCTAACTTTCACAAGTGATAAGAAGAGAATATGCATACAATATAACACTTCCGGTTCAACATTCGAACCGTGCGAACCGGCGGTTGAACCGCTGGACCGGTGATCCAAGGACTCGGGCGGTTCGATCGCCGGTTCGGTTTTTTCAACTATGGTCGTCGCTAAGGTTGGAGCGTGGGACGTCTCCCCCGCAACCACAACGAACGAACGAACAAACGACGCACCGCACCACGTTCGTTCCGGACGTCCACGCCTTACCAACCTTCTCGACTTGTACCCAGCTCGTCCCCTTCGTCGCCGCCGCAATCACACGCACACCCTTTACCCGCCGGAACGCGCGCACTTGCCTTGCCCCCCCGCCAAACGCCAGCGACAACAGCTATAGCAGCAGCCGCGAGCCGCGAGGCCTTCTCCTCCCGGGACGCCGCGCGAATGCCCTCCCCTCGCTGCCGGGGGGAAGAGGAGCGGTAGCAGCAGGCGAGGGCGCCGCGGCGGCGGCGGGGATGGCGGGGCGGCCGGGGTACGTGACGGTGCCGATACTGTCCGTGCTCGCCGCGATCGGGTACGTGTACTACACGGCGGTGTTCCTGGCGATCCCGGCGTGGCTGGGGCTCGCCACGGCGGCCGGGGTGGCCAACGCGGTGGCCTTCACCGCGCTGGCCGCCGCCTGCGTCGCGACCTACGCCGTCGCCGTCTCCCGCGACCCGGGCCGCGTGCCGCCGGCCTTCTTGCCCGACGTCGAGGACGCCGAGAGCCCCATCCACGAGATCAAGCGCAAGGTACACCGGCCGGTCCACCCTCTTCCGTCGGGGCCACCCAGATCTCGCGGGCGCCCCCCGCGGTGCGCTGCAAAGTTTAGATCCTTGGAGTGGGAAGCTAGCAGAATTGGACAGTTCGGCCTCAAAATTTGATACCTTTGGGTTTAGATTTCGGACATTGCCGATTAGGAAGATCCCCTGAGCTGATATTCCGTGCGTGGGCTTTAGATCTTCAGAGTGGGATGGCAATTTTGAGCTCAACGTTGAGGTCTTTGGGGAGGAAGAGAGTAACAGCATGTAGGTGTGCATCCGAGGATATGGGGCTATGGAGGGGGTGAGGTGAGCGCGTTTTGCATTCGATCTTCACATACTGTTATGATCCATATTTGAACTTACGGGGTGTACTTCTGCTAAGAATGCACATATTGCGAGATGAGGGCCTTTGTATTATGGATTATATAGTCTTGGATCTAAGTACGAATCTTAGGTCTAGTCTTGCATGCCGAGTGCTTGGTTGGTGAATTGGAAGGTTTGCATTATGTATTTAATGTGTGCAATAGATTTCGAAAATTAATGTTTTGGGATCTATTGCACACATTAAATACATAATGATGGTTGATGAGGAAGCTGGATAGTTACCAATTATCATTAATTATTTTCTGAGCTTATGGTAGCTCAGCTGATAGTATTATTTATTTCCTATTTGGCATTGTGTAAGGGCTTTACATCATTTGGGGCGTTTAAACAATAGGTGCCTGCATAAAGATAATGTATTGCATTCAATCTGCTTTGCTTTTGCTTGTTACTAAGGTTTCATTGGCTATAATTATGTTGCTATCAGTTAGTCTTGTTGAACCATTAAGGCGTATTCTAGTCCTGCCTTCAGTAGACTTACCGGTTGTTGACTTGTTGCGCTCGTATGTTCTTGCATTAGAAGATATTCTTTTGTTTCCAGTAGTTTCAAATGAAACATTGATGATTATTCTGGTCAGATTTCACATGCATTTAGCGCACGAACACACCAATTGGGCATTTTGTGTAAAGAAAAAGGTTTTGAAAAGGAAAGCTATTTTTTTTTGCTCTATAATGAAAAGCCATGGGTCTCTTTGGAACATTACACTTATATACATTATTGTTAGTACTGGAATTATTTCTCATCACATATTCTTTATGTGTTTTGCCTGCTTATTTCTGCATGCCTGTCATTGCAGGGTGGCGATTTGAGATATTGTCAGAAATGTTCCCATTATAAGCCTCCCCGTGCTCATCATTGTCGTGTCTGCAAGAGATGTGTTCTAAGAATGGTGCTGACTTGTAGTAATAGTGTTGAGTTCAATGTTTTCTATTTTGTAGTTCCAATTTGCATTATTCCCTTTTTTTAATATATGCAGGACCATCACTGTATATGGATTAACAATTGTGTTGGACATGAAAACTACAAGATTTTCCTAGTCTTTGTGCTGTATGCTGTAGTAGCAAGCTTATATTCACTGGTACTTCAATATCCTTGGTTTATTTTAGCAGCTATTCCTTGTTAGGAAATTAAGAATGTGAGGATTAACATTTATAACAGGTTCTGGTTATAGGAGGTGCTGTGCACAGTTTGCCTAAGAATGAACAATTAGGCAGTGATTCTTCTAGAACATCAATTGTAAGTACCTCAGAAGGGCTGTTTCAGTCATGCTGTATAATATGACCTTGTATAATATGCTAAGTGAATAATATGTTTCAAATGTGCAGATCATTTGCGGGGTATTTTTGTGTCCACTAGCTTTGGCATTGTCCATTCTTTTGGGTTGGCATGTGTATCTCATCTTTCATAATAAAACTACTATTGAGGTTTGAGAAATTGAATCCCCTTGGTGTTTAGGGATTTATTGTTTGTGGAATTGTAATGTTGAGTATGTTGGCCGTTTGCAGTACCATGAAGGAGTTAGGGCAATGTGGTTGGCAGAAAAGGCTGGAAATCTATACCACCATCCCTATGACCTTGGTGTCTATGAGAATCTTGTTTCAGTAAGTATTATTCCCGTTCTTTTCTTTTCATATGCTCAAGGCATAAGCATCTGTTTATGCAGAAATTTGTTTAGCAAACCTTCTCTGTGTTCATGCCTGGGTTTTGTATTTGTCCATTCAAAAATATGTGATGTACATAAATTAATGTTGGACCTTTTGTTCCATTATTCTTGGTAAGGAATAAGTCTACTTCATCCCCTGAAGTATTGAGGCTGATCTACATAACCCCCTGAAGTACAAAACCGGGTATTCTACCCCCTAAAGTATCAAAAACAGTTTAAATACCCCCCCTAGGGTGGTTTTATAGGTGGTTTTGTTGTGCACATGATGACATGGCAATGGTTTTGGCCTCTTGGACAGTTGGACTATAGAAGACTACTGTAACAAGCTAAGCATTTTATTCACAAGTGAAACGGGCTGAGAATGATGTAAATTAGTGTTAATATATACTCCCTCCATCCCATAATATAAGGCGCGCAAGCATTTCAAGACTCAACTTCTAAAATATTTGACCAATAATTAGTATAATATGAATTAAATTTTATTTGTTGAGAAAATTATCATTGGATTGACATTTGAATTTACTTTCATATGATTATAATTTTCTTGCTATAAACCTTATATTATAGTACATGATAAATTATAAGCCAACCGTACCAAGTTTGACCATGCCTTATATTAGGATGAAGGGATTAGGCTTGCCGATCAATGAGTGAAAAGCAATAGTTAGATCAACTTGGGTTTACTAGACTAATCTTTGTGTCATGCAAGCCAATACCGCTGCCACGTAATCATTTTCATGGCAAAACCACCTAAAAAACTACTCTGGGGGGTTATTTGAACCCTTTTTCATACTTTAAGGGGTAGAATATCCGGTTTCGTACTTTAGGGGGTGAAGTAGGCTTATTCCTTCTGGTAATGGAGCATGGGAAATACCCTATAAGGGAAAAATGATGGGCTATAACATATCACTGATATCTACAACTTACAAGAAAGGCTCAGGTCATTTTGTAGCTCATGCTAACTATGACAAATTAGTAATTATGTGCACAAAATGGTTTATGTGATTTTTTATATTAACATTTTGGCTATCGGAGTTTTTCGGTACTAAAAGGCTGAAAATTGGTTATGTTTCATTTTCTCATTTTATTTTGTGTGTTTTCTCTACATAGGTGCTAGGGCCTAATGCGTTGTGCTGGCTCTGCCCAATATCAAGGAATACAGGCAATGGTATTCGTTTCCGTACATCATATGATATACCACTATCTACACCACCAATTTGACATCAGGTAGCATTACATTCATGTTAGATTTCTGGTAATTTGCTAAAAAAACTTGGTTGCCTATCCAAGTGTGAAATGTGCTATTCTCGCAATAGCATTTGATAACCCTTCATAAAGGAATAGCGTTTGTCAATGTCTTGAAACTCTTGCATCAAGAGTTTGTACTTGATGTGATCAAATGTGTAAATGACACTCCACGTGTAAGATACAGGAAGAGGAGCTGGATATTCCTCCAGGCTCCAAGGATCTATATGGATTTTGGAGCTAGAAATGTTAACTTGGTTTTCTTTTTGCTTTGCAATTTTCGACATACTTGATGAGAAGAGTCGCCAGCGCCTCTACTGATCTAGAGTGGTTGTATTCATACACAGAAGTCCAAATACATGAGTGCCTCTTGTAAAGTTCAATGTCTTGTATTGTTATTTTTTGGAAACTAATATTGCGTTGTCCGGTCATATTGAGAAAGTATCCAAGATTAATTGTATAGAGTTCAGAAATATATGTTACATTTGATAAACATTGTGGCTGTTTCTGTCAGGACATGTGTGTGTTCTTTGTCTGACCGGACTATGTGATCCAATTGCTAATATTGCTCTGGCAGCAGTGATAAAGCAGAGGGTAAATTTGGAAGTAATTACATTTGAGGCCAAACATGAATTACGTTTTTCTTTTTATCTCAATTCGCTAGAGCTGCCATGAACTGTAACTCTGTTCATCTTACCTGTGCCTTCCATGGACTAATTGCATTCTCATCATGTAGTCATGTCCATGACTCGTCTGGCACAGCATTAGTCGATATAAGAGTAAAACGCACCAGTATTTTTTGGGGCTTCCATTACTTATGCGTTGTCGCGTTGAGCACAATCCTGTGAAGGAATAGTGCAGAAGTAACTGGCGTTGAGACGCTGATTGTAAAGCAGTGCAGCTGTTGACCCGCACAGAGTGCCAAATCTGCAGGTTCCCTGCGAGCTGAAATTAACCCACAAATCGATGCTTTTGTTTGGATTGAAATTTTAAGGTCAAACACTTCATATATTTTACCAATTGCATCTCTGAACATGCCCTAAAAACATTAAACTCTTGCACAAATGGGCTGGTGCACACTGTGATCAAAGTGACACGACTTCTTTTTGTTTATATGCATATTCATGGCCCATTTTAACTACAACCAAACAAAGTTTGTGTTTGTGTGGAATTTCAACAGCATACAGTTACCAGGTTCATACATAACTTTATACTTTTTATATACTCCTACCTCATAACTTGTCTTAGTGTGATATTATCTATTTGGCCTTCTTTCCCTTGCCCTTTTTTGCTTCAAGTTTTGCTTGTACACGCGCAGCTGCAGCTGCTTTTGCTTCCTCCCTTTTCCTCTTCTCTTCCTCTTTGGCTGCAGCAGCGATCTCCCTCTGCTTCTTCAACTCCCTGTTAAAGTGTAAAACCCTAGACATGAGAACAGTCCCCTTTTGTCTGTTTTGATAATTCTGAATCCTTCAATTTGGCAGGTGTCATCGGAAACTCTAGTATGTAACAGTTAGTCGCATCCAGACAAAATTAACTAGCATGCATCACAAACTCAGAGTCTTGCACGTGTAGTGCTGTCAATAGAATGCTTTACTTGAACTTAAATTGTGAAGCACGAAAACATTGTTCAGATATCTTACTCAAGCCTAGCTTTCTCTTCAGATACACTTTCCACACTAGAACCTTTCCTCGGCCTGCATGCGATTAACTCAACCTCAAAAGTGAGAGTTGCACTGTGGAAAAAAAAACAGAGCTGTTTCTGTTACCTTTGAACTCTGTACATAAAAAAACCAAAGACTTTACTAGTGACAGATCAAGTTTTCAGACTTACTCTGGCGGTATCTCTGGAGGTGAACCTGCAGCTCCATAAGCATATTCTGGCTTGCATGTGATCTTTGCAACCTCTCCAACCTCAGGTGTCCAATTTAACAACAGTATTATCAGCAAAAGAACTGTTTGGGCTATTGATCATAATGAACTAGCGAACAGTTCATCCATTTACCTTCATTGTTTTCACGGCGATATCCCATGCCTTGATGACAGTTCCCTCTCCAATTTCAAATGAGAAGACGGAGTTGTCTTCATGAGTAGTGTCAAACACTTCCCCGTTCTCAGCAAGTGTTCCTTCATAGTGAACTGTAGACAAGGTAGAAGCAGAAGCTTTTATGCTTTTGTAAATCTGAAGAATAGGTGTACTGAAGCAAGACCAAGATGTGTAGATAGCTGCAATACCATCAACAATGGGAAGACTATCTGAAGGTGCAGTAGCATCATCCTTTGCTCTCCTGATCACTGTCTTAAGAATGCATCTATCTCCGGTTAAATCTATGGTCTCAGACATGACTGTTTTTATCTCAAGAAGAGATCCTGAAAATCAGCATAGAACCCACTAGCATATAGTTGAAGCAAACCACAACCAATTTCTTCCTACTTTTATGCATTTTTTTAAAATTTTATTTCTTCTATTTGATCCAAGAATGCATTTTCTCAAAAAAACAAAACTATTAGGATCTAATGAAAAAACATGGTACGCTGATATCTGATTCCTTAAAATTGAATGCCTAAGAGATTATCCCAGCAAACGAGCAAAACATGAAAAATGGACAATCATGTTCCCTGAATATTCTTCCTGAATAATATGCTCCATCAAGTACTGAAATGAGTGACACCACCAAAAATGCACAAGAACTAGCCATATATAAACTTTTTCGATTTGGGCCTAAAGATGAACTAGTGCGTTTCCATGAGGAAGGAGATACGGAATTACCCTGATCTTCCTTGGGAGGGGAAAACTCTCGATGGGTGATTCTTCTTCTGCCGCTGAAGCTTCTTCTTCGGCGAGTTGCCCGGTGTATTCTTGAAGAGTGCGAACTCTGAAGATAAGAGATGACGAGACTCGAGTAGAGAGAATATTTGCTACTATCTGGGCGACCTACACCTGCAAAGGCATTCAGTGCAGTGACGGATTATATTGGCCAAAGTCAAGAAGTCGTGTGCAGAGTTCGTATCAGATCAGCCCACGTCTGTGTTGATAACGCATAGGTGTAAAGATAACGAGATAGTACATGGTGTTGCTTATCTGAAGATTCTGAAGCTTAACTACATCTTCTGCCCATGTTTTCTTTTCGAACTTCAGCTACACTTTTATGCGCTGAAACACCGAATGAAATCTATCTAGCATCAATTCTTATGCTTTTTGTTACTATTCTCATCTGCGTGCCTTACAAATATACTACTACATAGGACCATTAGCCCTGAACTATGCATGTAGCTGATCAGCGTCCACTTGTCACCACTGTTACCAGATGCAAGATATCAAGAGGAACAGTCACCCACACTGTGGTCGGAATCATTGCAACCACACACATAAGAGCAGGTACAATAGCAGACTATTAGCCAGCTATAAATATATTTTAATGAGATAAACGATGAGAGAGAAGAGCAGCGGGCTACAGATTTGTAGCCAGCTGCAGCACGGACTCCAAGACATACTGTGTGTATGACAGGTGAGACCATATATTAATAGTGTAGTAAGCAACTATTGTATGAATTGGCTATTAAATCGGTTATAGATGAATTATAGCTAGTAGTGGGCTATACTATTAGACTTGCTCTAAAGGATCTGCCCTTGCTACCTCTCCGTGACACACGCTTCATCGATCATGCAAGTATCCAAGCACAAAAGGCCGGATACTGGATAGGGGCATGAATGCAGCAGCCGTCCTGGAAGAGAGGGAGGGGAGAGGGGGGACAGGAGCAGAAACCGTATGTTGCAGCCAGTGCAGTGCAGGCAGCCGGAGCTGAGCTCTGCGAGCTTGTGAAGGCCACTGTGCATGGATGGTGGGGGGGTCCTGCGGCTGTGCATCCTCTCCTAGCTTACTCGCCGGTTACCTGCAAAGAGCAAAGGACCTAGGTAGTGAGTACTCATCACTCATCTCAGTAGGATCATAGGACCACTTTACTACTGCACGCTGGACACTGCTCGCCAAAAATAAAAGAAAGAAAGAAAAAAAGAAAAAAAAACTTGCTACTGGCCACTGATCATGCTGATTCTGCAACGTTCGTAGCATCGCAGCACGCATGGGTCCCTGGCATCTTCAGCCGAAGATGCTGGGTACGCACGCATATATCGCTGCTGCAATGCATGCGCCATTGCAGCAGCTACCTACTCTCACTCACCTCTCCTACCGCGTCCTACGTAGGAAAGAAAACGTGCTTCCCGGGAACAGTAAAAGAGAAGACGACCTCCCGAAATCGATCGTCAGTTACACCACCACTTCGCCATTCATGCATGCGCACGAAGCTGGTGGTCAGTACGAAGTATACCTAATCTACACTGACTGACGACCTCTGCCTCTGTCTTCTGCCTAAGGAAAAAAAAAAGCTTCTGCCGCTCTTCGTGATGATGATGATGATGAGGATGAGCCATAACCTCATGACTGTCTCAAACAGGATCGACACTACACTCCTACTATAGTAGTGAGGCCGAAATCTGGGCGGATGCATGCCCGTGAAGTAGGTAGAGTACTCGATCGTTGAACCACCCGTTGGTAGTCCTAGTCTCCTAGATACTCGTAGCCAAGCCAGGAGCATCGGAGCATGCGAGACTTCACCAAAGTAGCCAAGTACACTGCGAGCCCATTTGGTCCAAGGTCCAAGCTGTGTGTTTGCGTGTGTGTGTGAGAGAGAGAGAGAGAGAGGGTTTTGATTACTGGTGATGGCGCGCAGCTCACAGGGGCGCTCAGATACGGAGGCGTCGTTTTGGGAGTAAATAATTCGATGCGTCAGCACACTTGGGGCCTCTCCTCCTCGGGAGTGTCCACACTCCACAGCTTCATTCCGGGTCAGGGGGCTCATCAGAATGCTACTAGTGGTAACGGCTCCCCTCTTTTACCTTTCGGAATTTGGCCCCCCTCCCTTCAGTCGCATGCAGCGAGATTTACCGCGAGTTACTGCCTCTACGCGATGGTAAAAATCACCAGCGTAAACTGTCAAGGATTGTGCTTTACTAGTTGCAACTTGCATGATGCCGAGAACGGATTTACCGGAAAGTGACGGTGGTTTTAGTGGTAGCTTTCTTGGTGTGTTTTTTTTTTGGGGTAGGAGAACAAGAAACGCAATGGAATCCTCTGCCAGGGTGAGGAAAATGGCAGGTGGCGAGCCGTCCAAATCTAGATTCAGAGGAGTATCTCTTCGCACTCCGATGAACCAACACGCACGCGCGCACGTCGAGGGAGTCAAACACCGGAAGCGGAAGTAGAAGGAATAGAGTAAGCGCCACTGCACCAGCAGAATCCAAGAACTACCCACCCATTTTGATCGAGTACGTCCGTCTATATTTAGATGCTCATGCGCTCACATGACATCAAAAAATTAGAAATAAAAATGCGCAGTGCAGCGACCACGCATGCTGGGCTACTGGCCGGCCTACTGCACCACTCATTCGCTCTACTCCTCAGAGAGGAAAAAAAAAAGGAAAGGAAAATGAGGAAAAGAAATGGAAAAAAGATACTATTCTCTTTACACAAAGTTCCTTAAGTCCTAGAGAGAGAGCTTCATCGCATTTGCTCGCCCCCTCCATGAATCGATCGATCGATCGAGTACCCTCTCATTGGTACTCGTGCCAGCAGACGAGCATCGTGACGCAGCGGCGCATGATGTAGAACCTCGCGCGCTGCTCCTTGACGAGCCGCACGCACCGGCAGGTGAAGGACGGCCTGCTCTTGCCGGCGCCGCCGTCGCCGCCGCTGCGCACGCACATCGCCACCTTGCCGCCGCCGCCGCTGCTGCTCCTCTTCTTGTACAGCCTGCACGGCTTCACCACGGCGTAGAGCTCCATGGGCACTGTGGCGAGGGGTGAAGAAGGGTTACCCAGTCAGTCGCCGAGACGATGGGAAGGAGAAGATAGCTAAAGCAGAGGGGCAGAATCACGGGGAGTGAGACTGTGTGAGAGAGTGTAGCTAAGCTGATGAGAGTGAGAGTGACCGAGGTCAGAAGCTCCTGTGGAAGAGGCATAAAAATGGCTATATAATGGAGCTGGATGTGTGCACGTAGGGCCATGACGTCCCAAAAAAGGACCCACTTGGTGTTTTCCTATGTTTATGCAGGGTTTTCGCTGTTGGAACAAGGCTGACGCCCCATTTTTTAATTTCCTACGACTATCTGTTGCTCTTCTGGCCTCTGCCGTGAAATGAAAGCTCTGCGTTTTATTTTGTTCTTTGCTCTGGTGCAGCAACAAGGGTTTGTCAGGTGTGTGAGGGGGCTAATTTTCCTCGCCTTCTGCCATTTTTGAGAAGGCAAATCGTTTGACGAATGGCAAACCCAGTACTACTACGAACTATAGATATCTTGACGGTCGTTGCACTATATAGAGAGAGCGAGTAAAGTACTCCTACGTAAACTACTGTTATGAAGTGTAGAACAGCAAATTTGACCAGCGAAGCCACAACAATAGATGCAACTAGTACCACAGGAAATCTAAACTACTCCTACTGCTACGTACTTCCATTGTTGGAGGAGTCCCACTCCAGTGCTTTCCACTCGGAGTATAAATTAATCTAAACCGTTGATCGTTTTATATCTAATGGGTTAGATTTATTTATACTCCTATCTTAAATAGCAATAGTAGAAACGTCAGAGGGTATAATCGTCCAAAAAATATGGACGGGGATGGTTGAATTCGTAATTTTGCATATCAATTAGAAACACTTGAGCATCGTTGGGCCGTGCTAGGTTTAGGGTGAGTGTGGCGGAGCAGATGCGATGAGCAGATCGGCGGCGTGCTTCCATGAGATCGTTGCGGGATTACGGCGGGGGATCAGCCTCGGGAGGCTACTCCTTGCCCAGCGGCTCAAATGCTAGAGATCAGTATGCGTTCCACGCCAGGCCCAAGAAGGAGACATATAACTAGCGAGCCTGAAGCCCTGAACCACGACAAGAAGTCAGATCAATTCAACGATTTCAACGCCATCGAAGCCAATCAATATTACGGTGTTTTGAGCATCGCTCTGAACTGAGCAAATGACCACTCTGAACTTAAATACTTCGGTACCATCCTTGGACAAATTTAGCGATGTTAATGGCTTAATTCTTTAAGAACTGAAAACACAACATGTGGAGAAACTAATAAATAGGTTTTAAAGATAATCATGGTGAGTTTATAACAGCACATTTGCTCTTGCTCCTCGATTTGACTATATAGCTTTGTTCAGTAGTTCTTTGTAGTATTATCTGTTCAACGGAGGAGCTCGCACATGCCGGAGTGGGCACTGCCGCCGGAGTCGGGCGCACGCGAGAACGAAAGGAGCGGTGACACAGACGAACTGATCCTACTATTAAGAAAAAAAAGTAAAAGTTAAAAATTACCCTTAACCATAAATTAGTAAAATACTAATTTGCCCTTATAAATTAATGGCTCAGATTGCTTCTACTTGTAATAGAATACTACAAGTAGAGAGCACCGTAGCAGTGCTCTTGTTGGAGACGACCGTTCAAACTCCGGACACAAGCCTGCGCCGCTGCTCGCACCCCCACACGCATACACGTTCATACATACATACGCACGGTCGACGCATCCGGCAGCCTTGCAGTTGCCGGCCCGAGCGGCCCCGATGCGGTGCCGTCCCGTGCGTGAGGTCAAAAGCTCGAGTCCCCCGAAAACTTTTGCTCCAAATGGCTTAAAGCTTCGCTACCTCCGCCAGGTTCACAAATCACAAAGGTTCACAGATCACACAACCAACGCCGTACGAATTGCGTTCCATCCGATGTTGCGCTTTGCGCTCCACCGCGCAGAGATTTCCCCCAAACTCTCGCACGGATGCCGGCATGCGCCGTCCTCGCGCATCACCAGGGTTTCTCATGTTGGTCCACAGTCACACCACCCTACCCCCGCCCGCGGATAAACACGGCACGTTTCCGCGGCTGCGCGCGGTGAGGGGATCAAGTGGGCGTCGCAGCGAGGGGGCAGCGGCTGCAGTCCATAGCCCATCCGAGCGAGCGAGCGATCGGCCCCGTGTGTGGCTGGTGTACGTGGGTGGGTCAGCACGCAGCCGCGGCCGTCAGCTTTAAACTGTAGCAGCGAGCGCCGAGTGAGCGAGCGAGCGAGAGGCCGGGCAGGGCAGAGGATCAGACTGAGACTGCCCGGCCGGCCTGCGCGCGCGGTGGTGGACCGGGGGAGAGGGGGGACTGGCTGCCGCGCTCGCTCGGCTACAGCGCAGGCAGGGCGGGGGCAGAGGCAGCGGCAGTGCTCGTCGTCCTCCGCCTCGGGAAGGTTGCGACGGACGGACGGGCGGTCGGCCACCCTGGCCACAGCGCAAGCCCGCAGCCGTGATGGGCCCTCCTCCGGCCGGCAACGCACCATGCTCCTTCCACCACCTTACCTATGCCTAAACCATCTATGGCCAAGTTGGCCATGGCCACGCACTACACTGGATCAGGTCAGCACTGACGGGCTCAAACCCTCAACTTTGACGGGTTCAGCTCCCTGTCAGAGATTAGTGGTCACTGATGACTTGAGTCACCTGTGACGAGTGAAGACCCGTCAGAAGTAAGAGCCACCTCAAACGGCCCCCAACTAAAACCCGTCACAGGTGAGAGTTACCTCTGACTGGTCCCAACCAAAACCCGTCACAGGTGAGAGTCACCTCAAATGGCCTAACTAATTGGGGCCGTCACTGGTGTGAAAAAAAGGGAAAAAAAAAGAGAAACACCGTCCTCATAGGTTACCATCACATTCATTTAGACCGATTGCATTTGGCATTCACAAATCAAAAAAATTGTCACAATTCTTCTTTGTTTCATCGCAGTTGTCCCAATCACAAAACAAAATCACAAGAATCTCAATCACCATAGGACTCAGAATCATCAATCACAGTAGCAACAATTGGAACAATATGAACAACACAAGACAAAATACATGGGTGAAAGAGAACTTGCTGGCAGAGGGCGGAGGCGGAGGCGCGGCTGGAGGCGTCACCGGTAGAGGCGGCGGAGGTGGAGACCGCTGCCGCCGTCGGGCCTCGGCCGCCTCCCCTCCCACCGTCGGCCGCCACCGCGCCACGGCTCCAGATCCGTCGTCCGCCACCGCGCCTCCCCTCGCCCCTGCCGGATCTGGCGGCCGGACCGCCGCCGCGCCTCCCCACCCGCCCCTGCCGGATCTGGCGGCCGGGCCGCCGCCGCCGCCCTCGCCGGCTCGGCGCCGCCGCGCCTCCCCTCCCGCCCCTGCCGAATCTGGCGGCCGGGCCGCCGCCGCCGTCCCCGCTGGCTCGGCGCCGCCGCGCCTCCCCTCGCCACGGCACAGAGAAAGAGAGGAGAGATAGAGAGAAGAAGTGGAAGAGATAGAGAAGTGGAGAAGAGGGAGCCGGCCGGCCTTATCTCCTCATGTGGGTCCCGCTGGGAGAGGAGACATATATATACAGTGGCAGAAGTCATCTCAAACGGGCTGGGACTTAAAAGCCGTTTGAGGTGAGTAAACCTCACCTCTGACGGGCTGTCCGGCTGTGACCCGTCATAGGTAACTAGTCACCTATGACGGGTTAGGACTTAAACCCGTTTGAGGTGAGGTAACCTCACACGGGTTCTATTTTTAACCCGTCACAGGTAACTAGTTACCTGTCACGGGTCGCAGCCGGATGCCTCACCGATGACGGCATCCCGTATAACCCGTCAGAGGTGACGGTCATTAGTGACCATTTCGATTGCCCGTCACAGGTATCCCATCAGAGATGTGAGGATCTGGTGTAGTGACGGTCAAAAAAAAAAAAAAAAAAAGAACAGCGTACTGCCTGCTCTGCTTCTCCGGATCGATCGATCATTCATTCGCTCGCGCTCAAAAAAGAAATCTCGGCGAATCTCTTCCCGGTGTGACCCGTGACGAGTCCCGTGTCCATAGGCCGATCGATCGGCCTCCTGTCTCCGCTGCCCGCTCGCCTTTTGTGTTTGTCCCGGCTTCCCCAACTGCAGTTCCACGATGCGTGCTCATCAACTTTTGGTCCAACTGTCCAAGTACTCCAGCGACCGAACAACGAGAGAGCTCGCTGGGCGCTCCTGTGTGTGTCACAGTCCGCTTTCTGACATGTCAGTATCAGCTACTGCTAGCTCGCTCGCCGCCGGGCTGCGTCGCCATGGCCAATGATTAAAACCAGGTTGGGCCAAATCAAACGGGCTCATGGCTATCCGATTCGGCGACCGTGGAGCCCGGCCGGTCAAAGATGGAACAGGCCTCCTCTCCTCGAGATTTTTTTTGTTCGCCGAGGAGCCGGATGCAAATCCAGTAGCGCTGATACAGTTGTCGTGGCTGACATATGGGTCTAGACTCACACGTCAATGTCTACTACTATATTAACAGTACTGCAAACAATTCTCACTGCGAGGAACCGAGGGAAGGGAAGGGAAGAGCGGAACTGATTACAGCCATGTTGGCATTGCGTTGGTGCATCTGTGGCGCTTGTCTCCGACCAAGGCGTAGCGGCACTCGTCGTGCTGGCTCTGAACCTCTGTGGAGTCTGATCAACTGCTGGTGTACGGACGCACTATGAACGCACAGTGCCTAGGATGCGTGATCCGCTTCTTTGCTTCGCCCAGATCTCTTACGGTAATTTTTATTTTTCTTCCTCACGTCGACGAGTCGATCAGATAGATCTCCGATGTGGCAAAAACACAACGTTCGCCTACGTACGTACACGTTCGCTGAAAGTTCGGACGCACGCCGTACGTACGTGCGACAGAGCTTCGGGCAAAATGTTCAGCATGGACAGATAGTCTATACAGCCATACAGGTGGCTTGAGTCAGATATGATACTGTTGAAGCAGTCCACAGTATAACAATACGAGTAGATAGTCTACAGCTCGTTTATAGTAGCATTATGTACTCTCCCCACTATTACACCGTGTTTAGTTCCGAAATATTTCTTTAAACTTTTAACTTTTTCATCACATCAAAACTTTTCTACACACGTAAACTTCTAATTTTTTCGCCACATCGTTTCAATTTTAACCAAATTTTTAATTTTAACGTGAACTAAACACACTCTTAAATGGGTGATGCAATGATGCATGTGGAGCAATTTGCTTCCGTAAATTCTGAACAAAATAATTGCGTGTATGTGATCAAGCCACGGTAACGTAGAATACAGGGAAAGGAAAGTAGGTGACGGGCAAGGGGCAGCAAATATCTGTCTGCCATATTGCCTTCGATGTG